CTGATTTGTTGACAAGACAATTGCTTTTTCGAAAAATTATTAAGGCTTTTGATATCAAGGATTATAAACTTATAGTATTGGGGAAAATGAGTAAAGTAATTGGAGTATCAATTGGAAACAATTATATCTATAAAAAAAAAGGTGTAAGATTGTGATTAATCCAAATACCAGGTTTATAAGGATTAGAGCTATTAGGGAGATGCAAATTGTAACTAGGGCCTATAGAATTATTGCAGAGGATAACAATGATACAATTGAAAGTGATGATATAGGCGATTTTATTTTAATTGAATAGTTATTGAGTTATATAGTTTGGGAGATAGCGAGTTTTTTTTTTATCAGGTGGCCGAAAATGGGGGGTGGCCGAAAAGTGAGATAGTTGACTTACATTATAAAAAGTTACCAGTATATACTATACTATACAATACCATACAATACTTAACCTACTAAACTCCATTTATCAATGAATGATTCTAATAATTAATGAATAATAAGTGAGGAAAGGAAGAATAGAAATATTTATTATTTATTATTTAATTTATAATAATTATAATTATATTAATAATAAGAGGTATTCGAGTAAGAAGTTGAAGTTGAAGTTGAAGTGCAGATGGATAGATAGATAGATAACTTTAGATTAATTTGTTGGTTGGTTGGTTAGTTGGTTAGTTAGTTAGTGTATAGTATAATAAGAGAAATATCAAAGACTAGATCTAGGTAGATAAGAGATGCGAGATGTGAGATGTGAGTGAGATATGAGATATGAGTGAGATATGAGATATGAGATATGAGGTATGAGATACTATGCACTATATATCACAACACACCAAACAAGTATAAAACAAACCCCAGATATAAAAAATATACCGGTATCTATCTATCTATTCATTCCTATTCATTTATTTATCCATACACCCATTCACCCACCCATCCATCCAGAAACCCCTCAAACACTCTCAATATACCTCTTCACCTCCCAATCCGTGACCGCTTCATCCCACAATCTAACCTCATGTTCCCTCGTCCCCCCATAATGCTCTACAAATTCATCACCAAAAACCTCTCTTGCAATACTATCCTTCTCCATGAATTTCTCCGTCGCCTCTTTAAGATTCTTCGCCAACCTTACCCCTGAATCTGCTTTCCCTCCTACATCTAATCCTTTGCCTAGCGGTGGTTGTTGAATCTCCAATTTCTTTTCTATGCCTCTCCATCCTAATGCTAGGATGGCGGCTAGCACGTAAAATGGATTGGTGTCTGCGCCTGGTACTCTGACTTCGAAACGTGTGGCGCCGGGTTTGGAGGTTGGGGGTGCGATGAGACGGATGGAGGCGGCGCGGTGTTCGAGTCCCCAGGATACTGTTACTGGTGCCCAAAAGTTTTCTACGAGACGTTTGTAGGAGTTGACTGTGGGTGCAAGGAGCGGCATGACATATGGAAGTCCTTCTAATACTCCAGCGAGGAAATGACGCCCCATATCTGAAAGATTCTCAATATCTGACCACTTTGCTTCTGTATCTTTGGTTTCTCGAAAGAAGAGATTCTTGCCATCTTTGTCAACAATCGAAACATGCATATGTCCACTGTTTCCAGGTAGACCTTGTCGTGGTTTAGCCATGAAACATGGTGTTATCCCGTACTTTGTGGCAACTGATTTTACAACATATCTGCCAACATTAACCTCTTATCTCTAACATCATGTCAGAAGTTCGGACTCACTTGAACAAGCTTGCTTTATCTGCCATCTGTTGAATTTCCCCAAATGCCAACGCAGCCTCAAAAACACCTGGCCCACTTTCTGTATGCCATCCTTCTATTTCGCACTTAAATTGCTCGCATGCATCATATATCCCGTAATAATAATCTTGGTTGTGTACTGGTCTAGTTAAGCTGTACCCAAACATGCCTTCGGTCAAAGAAGGTAACGAATCGACTGGGTTTTCTCTTAGGAAAGTCGCTGTAGAAGAGGTATTTCGTTCGGAAAGTGGTGCATGAGGATTGCTCGGTGGTGCCTTGAATTGAAAGAATTCATACTCAGCTACACACTTCATATTAGTCGTATTCGATATTCGCACATCAAATTGCCTATACCTCCAGCCATTGCACCCAATCCTTTAGCTTGTAATTTTTCCACTGCCGTCTTCAGTAATCCTCTCGGGCACGCAGACACTGGCTTCCCCGTATCTGGATCATAGAAGCTAATCAAAAAGAATGGCACATCATTTTCCCATGGTATCCTTCTAAAGCTGCTCAAATCCGGAATCGCGATAATATCATGATAACCATTCTCCGCATTACTGATTTTCATCTCTTTGAAATAAGTCTGATCATGCATATCCCAACCAAAGATCACCGAACAGAATCCAAAACCCTCCTTTGCAATACCTAGAAACTTCTTTTTGGAGACAAGCTTTCCGCGTAATATACCATCGACATCAATACCAGCCAATTTCACCTTTGTATCATTTTTGAGAAGCGTAGTGAGGTTCTCAGCAGTTTTCTCATCCCATTGCTTATGTGAAGCTATCCATTCTGGAGTATCTGGCATCTTTGCGACAAGGAGGAATTCGTGAGGATAGAAGAGTAGTTGTTGAGCTTGTGAACTCAGTAAACGATTGGCAAGTGAGTGGTATGGATATCTAGGATCTGGCTTGTTGAGGAGGGAGTCGAGGGAGGTTTGACTTGTCTATTGTTATTCTGGTTACCTTTAGAGAGGGAGTAATGAGAGTAAAGCAAGGAAGATCTGTAATCGAGCTTCTGCGATAAGAGATTCTGCGATAAAGCGAGGGGCTAAAATAGATGCTGCTTTTAAGGTGGGTTACTATCCACAACCCTGATTTGTTCAACATCTGAGCATCTGGTACATCGGTGAATATTCGGATGATGATCTCTAAATTAAAATGGCAATAGATATTACTGAAATAACTGACATGCAGCTTACCGGTATCTATTATTAACGTCAACCAGCAAATATTACACGAAAATCGTCATATATAACGAGAATAGATGGATGAATTTATGTATGCTAAGCCTTTCGAAGGTATACAGATACATTATTACCGGTAACTATACAATATAATGACATGTAGACATCATGATATATGGATAGGTTATATGTGTATATATATATATATGCATCATGCAAAGTTCTTAGAATCGAATCCCATGGCTGTCTGATGAGAATACTGCCATATCATCGTGTCATAATCATCAATACATGAGGAAGATCTTCCCAAACTACCCTTTTCAGACATCAAACCCCGTCTTTTCTATTCAACCTTTTTCATGGATCTCCATCTCTTTTTTATCAAAAGAAGCAGCGGTGAATGAATTCGACACGGGAAAATCATTGAGCTGAAATTGAATGAATCGTGTTTGTCGGAATGGATTTTCTTCGGAACGATAACGGACCAGTCTACTCGAGTATAATTCTATACTTTTGCACTAGTGACACATTCACATATCCACACACAACTCTCTGTCCTTTATCAACTGAGAATTATAATTTGATTCTTAAGATTTTGTGATATTTCCAGTTGAATAGTCTTCAATAAATTCTTCATTTTACTCTACCAATATCTAAATCAGGAACAAAGGGTAAGTGAATCTCTCCTTTTATTGTATTAGAGGTCCTGTAACGTCGTTTCTCACAAGAACACCAAACCGCTTCAATAAGAGCTTATCACTGATAATATCTACGATAGAATACCATATCTACTAGTAGACCAAAAGAACATTTCAACATATTTCAAAATGAACGACAACGGCGAAAAACATACCATCAACAGCTTCCAGATGGGAAGACTGCATGGCAAGAATGCTATTGTTACCGGTGCTGCTGGGTGAGTCATGTCTTTCATTACCTCTGATATAGAATCTACGGTGTGATCAGGAATATACGAGTTTTCAAGATACAGGACGATGAGTATCGTACCTATCATCCTTTTTCCTTCTCAACTTAAGCCCTTATCAAGAGTTTCCAGTTGTCAAGTTTTCTGGTCTGTCCACACACGTGACCTCTATCATATTTGTGGTGGGACGCAGCGACGACATGATGTGGACTGGGTTATTTCATGGAAAACTTCATACTGCAGATATATGCATTTTGACTAAAATCATGCACTCTGATTGAAATCATGCATTCATCACACTAACACACCACCAGAGGAATCGGTCTCGAAACCTGTATTCTATTTGCCAAGGAAGGCGCTAACGTCCTCATGGCCGATATTTCCGCTCTAGCACTCAAGAAAGCCGCCGCCAAACTCAAGCAATTAGTTCCATCTGCCCATAAAGTCGACGTTCAAGTATGCGATGTCTCAAAAGAGATCGATGTCGAAAAAGCCGTTGCTCATCTTGAATCTTGGGGCGGTATTGATATCATGTTCAACAATGCCGGTATCATGCATGCCGATGATGCCGATGCGATCGAAACCCCCGAGAAGATTTGGGATTTGACTCAGGCGATTAATGTCAAGGGTGTTTGGTTCGGTAGCAAACATGCCGTGATCTCAATGCGAAAGAACAAGAAAACACGTGGTTCTATCATTAATACCGCATCTGTCGTTGCGCTCGTCGGTTCGGCTACACCACAATTAGCATACACAGCTTCCAAGGGAGCAGTTTTGGCAATGACCCGAGAACTGGCTATTGTTCACGCGAGAGAAGGTTTCAGGTTCAATGCGCTATGCCCGGCTCCATTGAATACCCCGTTGTTACAAGATTGGCTGGGAGATGATCAACCCAAGAGACATAGACGTGAGATTCATTTCCCAAGTGGAAGATTCGGAGAGGCTATTGAGCAAGCTCAAGCTGTTTTGTTCTTGGCTAGTGATGAGAGTAGTTTCGTTAATGGACAGGTATGTTTTGTTCCCCTATTCCACGATTTTCTGTTTCCCTCTTTCTAGCCCATCCTAACACCACCACCCCCACAGGACTTCGTCGTAGACGGCGGAATGACAAAAGCATACGTGACACCCGAAGGTCCCCCTCTCGCCGCTCCATCAAACAATGCGAATCTCAGTGAGCAAGTCGATGCTATCCGCGGTACCGGTATTCCTAAATAGAGAATTTCTTTTTCTTGTTTTTGGAATTTGACTTGCAGTTTTAGCGTACGTGCCGTGCCGTAGATGGGTTGTGAATGGGTGTATGGGTGGATGGGTCGATGCGTGGATGGGTGGATGTGGTTAGATGGATAGATAAATTGATGCTAAGTCAGCTACTCGATTAGATACTCGAGTAGATGGTGCTTTGAATGAGAGTGGGGTTACATGGTATAATGTTGTTTTTTTGCCTAGTAAAACTGAGGATGCGATGTGCGATGTGCTTATTTTTTTATTTTGTGCGTATCTGTATGTGTCTATATGTGTGTCTATGTATTGCTTGATCCTAATTTTGTACCAGTTACGATTTACGAGTTACGTGCTATGGGTTAGGAGTTACGGGTGACTATTTAGGGAAGTAGATAGGTAGGGAAGTAGGTAGGTAGATAAGTAAGTAGATAATAAGAAGCCATGCAATACTTCCGTCACAGGAATGCGTGGTTGATTAGTTGAGAAGTTGATTAAAACTTAGTAATAAATGATGAATCAGAACCAGAAATGGGATCGGAATCAGAACCGGAAGCGGAATCGGGTGAGGTGAGGTGAGGTGTGGATTGGATTGGATAGTAGAGGAGATAGAAATGTGGATATGAGATAAGGTGAGGTGAGGAGATAGAAATGTGGATAGGAGATGAGAGATGAGAGATGGAGAAATGAGGCGAGGTGAGAACTAGGGATATGTAGAGGTAGGGATGGGAGATGAGAGATGAGAGATGAGATATAGGAAATGGGAGATGGGAGATAGGAGAAATGAGATAAAATGAAAGATATAGGAGTAGGTGTAATACCAGATTGGGATTTCTTGATTTTTTGGTTTCAAGGTTATTATTGTAATGTAAATGTGAGGATTATATAATTTGAGGATTTTGAAAGGTGGGGATTTTGATAGGTGGGAAAGGAGGATAAGGAGGGAGGAGGAGATGAGAGGAGAGAGGAAGAGAAGGGAGGAGGGGAGGAGGAGAAAGGAGGAAAAGAGAGGAAAAAGGGAAAAAAAAGGAAAAAGGAAAGGAGAGGAGAAGAGAGAAAGAAAAAAGGAAAAAGGAAAAGGAAGAAAGGAGAAGAAAGAAAGAAAGAAAGAAAGAAAGAAAGAAAGAATAAGAGCATATTGAATATAGGGTCTAAGATTTTCATATTATACTCGAGTACGAGTAGATTATATCGGAACATAGTATGCAAGTGTAAATACAGATGTAAATGTAAAGATAGAGATAGAGATAGAGATGCAGAACCAAGAGAAACTGGACTTAAGAAATGGGGAGTGAGGATGTAAGATATAGATGTTAGATATGGATGTAAGATATGGATGTAAGGGAAAGAAAGGACTGGTAAGGTAAGGAAAACAAGGAAAAGGTTGAGAGAAGAGATGCATGGGATCGTAATGGAGGTGCTAGGGATCACACTAGTATAATATAATATAACATAATATGATTATCATAATATGATATTATACGATGATTTTAGTGTTTGGTTTTGTGTGTTTGGTATTGTTTGTTTGATATTGTATATTGTTTTTGTTTATTGTATACTTTGTATTACTTTTGTTTGAGCTTATTTGTAGATATTAATATTGATATTAGTCTTATTATTAGTCTTGCCATTGTTTAATACTCATAATTAGAGTATAGTAATTAGTAATTAATGGTTATTTATACTCGTATATATATTCATATTGAAAGAGAGAGGATATAATATACTATACTATAAGATCTCCCTAATATTATACTATATATTTGAAGTTTGTTTGAGAACTTGAACTTGGGTTTGATGTATTTGAAGATATCAGTATATATGGGTTTGTTGATGGGATAGGAATTATAGAATAGAATAGAATAGTTTCGGGCTATATTGCAATAGTATTCTTATTT